ACACTATCTGGGTGATGGGCACACTTGTAATTTTGACTCAAAGAGTACAAAAGCAATTTATGTAACCAAAATGTATGTACCCCTGTAATACTCTTACAAAGAAAAATATATATATAAAAGCCTAGGATGCATATCAGGAATGGTACAAAAGTCTAACACACAAGTAATTGGAATCAGAATGGGATGAGGGAAAGCCATATCCAAGAAGATTATGGCTAAGAATTTTTCCAAAACTGGTGGAAGACGTCAAGCCAGTAAGCACTGGAAAGATGTTAAACATTGGTCATGAGAGAAATGCAAATCAAAACCACACTGGGATACCTCTTCACACACACTAAAAAGGCTATAATCAAAAAATTAGTAATGTTATATAAGGCTTAAAATGTCTGTAAAATTAAAATGCCTGACAACAACAAAAGGGTGGAAGGAGACAAAGTTAAGGTATTCTAAGATCCCAACATTCTTTTGGAAGGGCTAAGTATTATACCCTAATAAGGCAAGGGTGCATGCTGTAACCTATAGGCTAACTATTAAAAGAATACAGAAAGAACATACAACAAGCCAAAAGCAGGGAAAGTGAATAATAAATACTTGATTAATCCAAAAGCAGCAAGAAAAAAAGGAATATAGAATGGGTAGAATTAATAGAAGACAAACAGTGAAATGGAAGATTTAAATGCAAATATATTCATAATTATATGTAAGTCACCTAATTAAAAGGTGCATTATTAAAATATATAACTGCTGCTTACAAGAACTTAAATACAAGGACACAGAAGGGTGAATATAAGAGTAGAAAATATATTATTCAAATACCAAAATTAGGGTGGTACTGCTAACCCAATATTCAAAGTAGATGTTAAGGAAAGATATAAAAATAGTGTCCTTTTTATAAAGATAAAAGTATCAATCCCATAGTGCTGGAAGTCCTTGCTAGAGCAATTAGACAAGCGAAGGGAATTAAGGGCGTCCAAATGGGGGCAGATGAGATCAAACTCTCGCTTTTTGCCGATGATACGGTATTATATCTAGAAAACCCCAAGGATTCAACCAAGAGACTCCTGGAATTGATAAATGGATTCAGTAAAGTCTCAGGATACAAAATCAATACACACAAATCAGAGGCATTCATATACGCCATTAACAGTCAAGCCAAAATTCAAATCAAAAACACAATAACTTTTACAATAGCCTCAAAAAAAATTAAATATCTAGGAATATATTTAATGAAAGATGTGAGAGATATATACAGGGAGAACTATGAAACACTAAGAAAAATTGTAGAAGATGTAAACAGATGGAAAAAATCTACCTTGCTCATGGATTGGTAGAATCAACATCATTAAAATGTCCATACTACCTAAAGTGACCTACAGAATTAATGCAATCCCTATCAAAGTACCATCATCATTCTTTACAGATCTAGAAAAAAATAATTCTACACTTTGTATGGAACCAGAGAAGATCTCGTATAGCCAAAGCAATCTTAAGTAAAAAGAACAAACTTGGAGGTATCAGTCTACCAGACTTCAAGCTGTACGACAAGGCTATAATAACTAAAACAGCATGGTCCTGGCACAAGAACAGAGACATGGACCTTTGGAACAGCACTGAGAATCCGGAGATGAAACCATCTGCATATGGTAATCTAATCTTTGACAAAGCAGACAAAAATATACATTGGGGAAAAGAATCTCTTTTCAATAAATGGTGCTGGAAAAACTGGATACATGCAGAAGATTGAAACTAGATACCCACCTCTCACCTCTCACAAAAATCAATTCAAGATGGATATCAGACTTAAACCTAAGGCATGAAACCTTAAGAATTCTAGAAGAAGATGTTGGGAAGACCCTTTCAGACATCGGCCTAGGCAAAGAATTTTTGAAGAAGACCCCCAAAGCAATCACAGCAGCAACAAAAATAAATAAATGGATCTGATAAAATTAAAAAGCTTTTTGCACAGCCAAGGAAACTACCATTAGAGCAAATAGACAGCCTACAGAATGGGAGAAAATATTTGCTCTCTACATATCCGATAAAGGGTTGATAACAAGAATCTATCTAGAACTTAAAAAAATCAATAAGAAAAAAATCAAACAACCCCATCAATAATTGGGCAAAGGAAATGAACAAATTTTTCAAAAGAAGACAGAATAATGACCAGCAAACATAAAAAATGCTCAACATCTCTAATCAGAGATGCAAATCAAAACCA